CACGACCCACGACTCGACGTCTAGATTGCTTTTGAGAAATGAGGTCGGTTTTCTTTTACCCATTCCTCCTTGGCTTTACTCTGCTTCTCTCGCGAGGAGACTTTCATATACCTGTTACGTTCTAAGAATCTTTCTGAAAACGCTTTTACTGGTAAACCCTGGAACGAAGAGTGCTCAACGAAATTTACGTGAAGAAACATGCACATGACTGGAATTGAGCTGCATAAGAATATATATATATGTACATATTTAAATATACCCATAGGTACATAAAGAATCATATTTTCTTTTTTTTTCTCAAATTAAAAATCGAGTTCTTCAAAAAACAATTAGCCCACTTGGTTCATTATCACGAAGTAGTATAAGGAGTCCCCACTATGCAAAATGAATATGTACCGAGTTTCCCGACTGCCTTTCAATTTGGTAGGATAGCGATACTAGCGCGGTTACCGGGAAAATTGTTGCAACTCAACTGGATAATGGCGGAAATGTATGTTTCGTGATGATTCGTATCTGCTCGTGAAGAGTCGAGTGCAGACGACAAATCTGTCACAAACATACATTTCCGCCATTATCCAGTTGAGTTGCAACAATTTTCCCGGTAATCGCGCTAGTATCGCTATCCTACCAAATTGAAAGGCAGTCGGAAAACTCAGAACATGTTTTTCCTGAAATTGCCTATGCAGTGGGGGCTCCTTATACTACTTCGTGTTCATTATACACAAGAGGAAAAAGTTTTACAATATAATTCAATTCATTTTCAAAGAAAACACTGTTTTCGTTTCTTTAATGTTTTAATAATAGTTTTGATTGCTATTTGAGATTTGACTATTTTTTTCTTTCATTATTTCAACATGTGCAAGTTTTTTCGCTACAATTTAAAACGAAGATTTTTTAGATATATATTAATTAAATTAATTTATGATGATTTTAAATGCTCAAGAGAGATTGTGTATTAATATTATGCATATATGTATATATATATGACATATTTTTGCTAAATAAAAGTAAGTGAACTACTTTGCTAAGTGAGATATTTAAATATTGCAAGTAAGGCACTTCCTAGAACACATTGAACCCACGCCCGACACGCAAACGTTCAGACCAACTGACGGAAAGTCATCTTTATTCAAATTTCACTTGCATTTCAGAACTCATGCAGTTGTAAGAAAGATCTTATCTATCACCTTTATAACACGTGTTCAATGTACCCAGATATTCTTCGATTAAGGGTCAAGAACTTTCAAAGCCATTCAGTAACTTTTCATTCTTGAATTGCCGTCGAAAAATAAGTAATTTTTAGTAAATTTAAGGCCATGTGGGAAATATCCACGTGACCCCCATGCAAAAAATATGGTATCGTATTACCAAATTTTCTCTAAAATGGTAAAGAATTTTTGGTTGAAATTTGTAAAATGTGATAGAGAATAGCATTGAGAATGGCGCTGTTCTCGATTTGAAGCACAATTTTGCGTTTAAGTATTAAAAATAAAAGTTTGAAAATAATAATAATAATTCCACTATTAATTACTGTTTTAAATTATTTCGCATTCAATTACAGAAAATAAGTAGAACGGCCCAATTCCTTCAACCCTTTTTTATCATTCCTCAAAATTTCAACCCGAAATTTCTTCTCATTTCCGAGAATACTTGGAACTACCAAAAAGTGTCTTTGTCTCACATGGCCTTAAGTGGGAATACTTAAATATATTTTAATAGTTTATAAAAAGTAGTGGACGGGGGAGTACGCAATGGTTGTTTGTACTTTTTTTAATTTGAAAAATTGAATCGCAAAATGTATTTACGGATATAACTTTTATTGAAATTACACACTGAGAAAAATAATATCGTAAAAATAAGAAAATAACACAGCCCCACAAAAAAAAAAAGTGTCATGTACTTTTGACCGGAATACCCTAACCCTATGTATTTTGACGCGCTGAACACGAATCCGAAGTCCGTTTTGCTCCATCACGTCAGGATTTTTTTCTAACCTCAAAAAACATGTCGGATTTTGAGAAGTAGGCGATTTTTTTAAAAATTGCTGTATTAACTTCAAACTTGGTATCTGGGGGTTTTTTGTGTCGCTGATTACGAATCTGAAGTTAGATTTTCAAAATCCAAAATGGCGGATCCAATATGGCGGACGAATTTTGAAAAAATTTTAAGATTTACTTCAAACTTGGTATCTGGGGGTTTTTTGGGTCGCTGATTACGAATATGATGTCAGATTTGAAAAATTCAAAATGGCATATCCAACATGGACTTCTATCGGACATATTAGATACGCCATTATCTGTATCTGGGGGTTTTTTGGGTCGCTGATTACGAATATGATGTCAGTTTTCAAAAATTCAAAATGGCATATCCAGCATGGACTTCTATCGGCCATACTAGATACGCCATTATCAATTTTTGAAAACTGACATCATATTCGTAATCAGCGACTCAAAAAACCCCCATTTACACTATTGCACATTATTTTTAAAAAATTTCGTAAAATAATGTCCCCCTACCAAAAAAAAATTCAAGGGGTAGTTCCCCCCATAAATCAGCTTTTGGGGAAAAACAAAACATACGTGTCAAATTGTTTTTAAAAAACTACAAAACTGCCAAGTTTCAGAAAAATCGTCGTATGGCACTTCCCTAGTGTTACTTGTCAGCAACTTAGAAAACCTGTAGATACCAAATTTCATAATAATCTGACAATTTTTTAAAAATAATTCCTTAATATTGAATCAGACATGTCGAATTTCGGAAATCTGACATCAGATTCGTAATCAGCGACCCAAAAAACCCCTAGGTACCAAGTTTGAAGTAAATCTTAAAATTTTTTCAAAATTCGTCCGCCATATTGGATCCGCCATTTTGGATTTTGAAAATCTAACTTCAGATTCGTAATCAGCGACACAAAAAAACCCCAGATACCAAGTTTGAAGTTAATACATCAATTTTTAAAAAAATCGCCTACCTCACAAAATCCGACATGTTTTTTGAGGTTAGAAAAAATCCTGACGTGATGGAGCAAAACGGACTTCGGATTCGTGTTCAGCGTGTCAAAATACATAGGGTTAGGGTATTCCGGTCAAAAGTACATGACACTTTTTTTTTTTTTTTGGGTCTGTGTAATTTATTTAAGCATTTTTAGTTGGTCTTACTAAAGTATGGTTGGCACAACAGAAAAGAAAGTGACAATCAATCGAAAAATTTAGTTTGCTCTACCAAAAAATATTTTTGAAGGTTTCATGTCTACGAACTAAACAGTTTAGTTCTCCGTACTAAATCGCTGGCACGCAGAATTGCGCACGCGCTGTTCTCGTAAATGTGGCGTCAGTCGTAGGGCCTAGTCAGTCGTGGACCTCTTCCGCGTTATGCTTATCCGATCATTTATGTCATGTGTTTTTATTGTTCGGCTGGTCTATTAAGTGACAAAACGTTTGCTAAGAGAATGGAGGTTAGAATGCCTCGTGGCAACATTTAACATATGTTAAATCAGTATTTATTTAAATTTTTTTGGAAAATGGATTTATGTATCAACTTTTGAAAACTTGCTCCTCAATTTTATGCGATATCATTTTGAGATATTTCATGAAACGCGCGTAGTGTGTACTTACGGGAAGATAAATTATTTTTGTAATGTCTAAGCATAATGAATTTAATAAAGTTATATTATTAATCTCATCTCTCTTGAATTAAAATACCTTATTTTTTATGCAAAATCGTAAAAATGACCAAAGAAACTATTTTAGATAAAATAAATTATTTAGTTATTTCTACAAAAAAAAATTTTTTAATCAACGAAAACAGTAAGTTGAAATAACTAAATTTTATTTACGTCAACAGAACATTTGTTTCATTCTAATAAATGTATTTATTACGTAGACTAAATTATTTGGTTACACCTACTAAATAATTCAATTGAGCGAAATTTAACGGTTGTACAAAAAAATTTAGTACTCCCAATCAAACGGTTTAGTTGCACATATATCAAATAAAAAATTTGGTAGGGAAAACCAAACTTTGATACATGATACCAAACAGTTTTCTCAGTGCACACAAAGTTGTACGATTTAAACTTGGCGCCTTACAAAAACTGTCTCCAGCGACCCCTGGTGAATTAAATTTACAACTAATGGCGCACTCACACCTTTTTGGCTGCCTGCAGGTTACCATGGCAACGCACGAGTGTGAGTGAGACAGAAAATTTGAATATTTAAATTTTTAAATTTTCTGTCGCACTCACTCTCATGCGTTGCCATGGTAACCTGCAGGCAGCCAAAAAGGTGTGAGAGCGCCTTAATGTTTGTCTATATATAAGTGACACTTCGCAACAAAAGGTACCTAAGCTCCCAAAATTTTTAGGTTATATTTAGTGATAGCTTTACCTCAAGAAAAAGTTTTATTCTAATTAGGCAAAATCAAAAATAGAAATTATTGAATAATTTAGATGTAATAAAGACTTAAACATTAATAGTTTGTATATAAAGAGTTGATCCACTTTATGTATTTTCACTTCAAAAATCAAAAATATAACCTAAAAATTTTTGGAGCTTAGGTAACTTTTGTCGTTGAGCCTCACATATATAAGACAACTTTCAATAAAGTGACACACGCTTATTAAAGATTTGATTAAAAAAATAATATAAATAAAAAAAAGACTGTAGTTGAGTAATAATAAATGAAACGAGGCATAAAATATTGATTGAGAAGTGACGCGAGCTGCACATTTTTTGCAATAAGGCTTGAGATAAAATATTACATATCAAGCATTATTGAGAAGTGCTTGACTCGCTCTCTTTCTTGTTGAGTCAGAGCGTAAATAGTTGTCACGTAACTGGACTTGTGACCTCGTGGCCGAAGAGGATCAGTTAGCAATAAAAATTTTGTATACACCTTCTCCACTTTCTTGATATAGTTGATTTCTTCTTTCTCTATTTCTTGATATAGTATACAAAGTGGTTTTCTTTTTATTTTTACTAAAGTAGAACATTTCCTCGTAGGTGTGACCTAAAGAGCATCAGGCATGGCCAGCAGCACGGAGGATTACGGATCCGAGCTGCAGGAGTTACAGTGGGGTAGGAACACTGGTTCCCACTACTTACGTAGTGGTTCTCATTTTATGAGAACAGGGACCAGCGGTTGTTACGAGGCTGAGGACTTGGAACCAACGAGTAGACATCACACGATGTCCAGTCAACATCGAGGATACTACAGTCCACCTGGAACGAGTTATACAATTGTTGAAAGGCCACCCAGTGCCCCCCAACATCATTCCTCCCATACCACCCCTTATCGGCATCGTGGACATGCTTCGGGAACAGGACCCATTTCGCCTGAACAAGTCATTAGGTAAACTATAATTAAGCCGCTATTTATCAATGCTCTCGTCGGGATTTTAGAATTCTATTTAAATATATATTTATAAGGAAAGGTTTACGATCTGTACTCGAGTTTTATATAAATTCATTTCTTTTTTTTTTATCTTTTAAAACCGGTGAAAAATAAACTTGAATTTTAATTATAGGCAAATGAATTTTACCAACGATATGTAAAATTTTTAAATTAGAGATAAATGCACTTGAAGGAAAATATTTATATTAAGAAATTTCAATAAATATACTGGAAAAATAATTTATTTGATTTAAATAATTTGGTTATTTGACTATTATCAAATAATTTTTATTTGAGTCAATTAAATGTTGTTTAAAATACAGAAATTATTGGTTCAAATACAGTTTATTTAATTCAAATAAAAATTATTTGCTTCAAATTAATATTTATTTGATAATAATCAAGTATAACTGATTATTTGAATAAAAAAAAAAAAATTTTTTTCAGTGTATAGTAGAATTTTTAATAAATATTTTGATATTTAGGGAAAATGTGAAAAATATTTGTATAAAAAAAAACTTGAATTTTAATTATAGGTAAATGAATTTTACCAACGATATATGCAAAATTTTGAAATTAGAAATAAATGCACTGATAGAAAATATTTATATTAAGAAATTTCAATAAGTTTAACAGAAATTTTAGTAAATATTTTTCTAATCTAGGGAAAATGTGAAAAATATTTATATAAAAAAAAAATTTATTTTTTATTTAGTAATTATTACGTTCTATTTCGTAAAAGAAGAATATATTCTAAATGCTAAAATGAATTCTTAAGCGGCGTTTTTTTCCTTCGTATTTTTAGTTTTAGTCGTGTCACGCTAATGGGATAGTGAAAATTTTTTGACAAAATATGTCTGCTAGATATTTCCATTGTAGCTAAAGTGATATTTTACAAGCCGCAAAAATAAAAACGTTAAGAATATAAACTTTCTTGAGAAATTCAAATGAAATTTTAGCATTTTTTCACTTTTTAACTTATAAAACTAATTGTCAAATAAATATTTTTTTCTAATACTGTACATAAATGTTCCTTTGTATATAATTTAGCAAAAAAAAAATGATACCCAAAGTTTTAATTAAAAATAATTCAAATTTTTAAGTGTTCGATTCGAGAATCACAAAAGTTAAAAGTTTCGTGAATTTGCCCATATGAATATATTCTAAATTTCAAAAATATTTTTCTATTATAAAAAAAATATTAATTAGAATTTTTTAATTGTATTTATTATATTATGTAGTGGGAACTGAAAATCAATTTTATCTTCCAATTGTCAAGTTTGAAAGAATTTTAGACGACACACATTTTTTTTGTTTCTCTAGAAAAAAAATCTAAGTGTTATAACTTTTTTAAAAATTAAGATATCTCATTTTATTAAACTTAAAAGAGTTTAGAGTTTTCTTTTCTAAAGAATCCGTTAGAAAATCTCAAATTTGTTGAATTTTTTTGTTGTAAATTGTCTACGTAGTGAAGAATATTTCTTGAAAAAAAATTTAATTTGTGTCCAATTTTTACAAAGAAAAAAATTATGTCTTGTTCTTTTAAAACTGCAATATAGTTGTAAAGAAAGTTCTCAATTGATGTTCTTTAAAAAATGTAAAAAAATGTATTTTAACATTTTTCTCTATCTCGAATATTTTTCCACATTTTTCTCAAAAAATTTATTAAAGTGTCTTATTGTCGTTTTTTTAAGTTCAGTAACAGTATATTTTCTTTCCTATATTATGGAAAAAAAAAACAAATAATTTTTATTGAAAATCTTTTTCTATTACTATCTAGTGTTCTTAAAAATAATTTTTTTTTTTACATTTCTTAACTTTCCCATCGGAATTTTTAAAGAAGGGTGAAAACTTTTTTAGATCAAAAAAGGGGGAAAAATAAGAATAAGATATCTTATCTACTAAAAAAGTTAAAACACTTATTTTTTTTCAGCAAAAGAAAAAAATACGCGACATTTAAAATTCTTTGAAAAATAACATTTGGAGGATTTTGAAAATGCGTACAAGTTAAAGTTTTTTCCTCCTTGTCACGTAGATGTTTTTTCTTCCTTCTTTTTTTTTTGTTTAAAGTTTATATTGTACTAAAATTTATATTGTACTTAAAATTTTTTTACACAATACATATTTAATAATTTTCCTCATTTTGTATTTTACATTAAGTTAAAATATTTGTGAAATTTCAATTAAAAAGATAAAACTTATTTTTCGTCTAATTTTTTTTTATATGACTAAATAAAAACAATGATAGCTTCGAAAAATTATTGTTTGATTTATTTTACTATTGGTAAAAAAAATTTTAGCAAAGAAATATATTACTTTATATTATTATTATTATATATACACACAAAAGAACTAACATAAAGTACAAAGAAATAGTAGAAAAGTTAGAGAAATCAGATTTATTTTCCTTTTCCCTGTTTACATCCTGGAAGCTCTCGATGCACTCAGACTGAAGTCACAAAGATGACGGGAAAGATGGGGAAGAAATATTATTTTATACCAAAGAAGTGAATACATATCAATAAAAAAAAGTCACAGGAAGAAGATACGTTCTTTTCATTCTGTTTTATTTTCTACCATTTGCTTAGAAAATTTTCATGTTTTAATACCGACATAAAATGTATATAAAACGGAAATCTTTAAATTGAAGAGAAACCAAAAAAGTTGTTTATAAAAGTTTTCTTAAATTTTTGCTGGTAGATACTTAAAAATTGCACACGTAATTTAAAAATATCAAATTGATACCAAAAATATCAAATTAATATAAGAATTCGTATCAATTTGATATTTTTGGTATCAATTTGATACTTTTAAATTAGTGTGTGTTTATGGTTTATTATAAAGTTTTAAAGAAGAAATTATTCTGAATTAAGAGTCGATTTTACGATTTTTTTTTTTTCAAATAAATAAATTTTCCATTTTTTTTATTTTTACTTTTAAAAAAATGCTTTCATCTTTGAATAAAAACAATTTTTCCATTTCTGACAAATATAAATTATAAATTTTGAAAAATAAAAATTGTATACAATAGTTGATTTTATTAATCAACACTAGTTTTAAAAAAAAAGAAAGATAAGGAAAAATACTAATTCAATGGAATTTAAAGAATGAAGAATAATAAATACTTATGCGTCTCTTTACATTTCTTGAATTAGTAGTTTACTCTTATTGAAGTGAAAATTAATTCACTTCAATAAGAGTGACAATTTCTCTAAAAGAGTGAAAACTAATTCCACTTGAGTGAAAATTCAATTTTTTTTAAAGTTTAAGCCAATAAAAATAAATTTTCACTACTTCATAGATATCTATAAAATATTGCAACTTCACTTCATGGAATGAGTATTTCACTCTTTTAGAGCAATACTTTATCAATTTGATTGGAGAGGCTCAATTTCCAATCCATGAATGAGTGAAATTTTGTAATTTAGAATTATGGATTATTTTTATTCTCTCTAAATATTTGATAAATCTCATTAAACTTTTTTTTCACTGTTTTTGATATATTTCACTCTGCTTGGTCGTTGCGAAAATTGTGCCTCTCCAGTCAAAAAGCAAAAGAAATGATTTGAAAAAATTTTTCAAGGCTCTTTGGCGGCAATGGTCTCGCTTCCGATAGACGAAAAGGTGATAAAAGAACTCCAGCTTCCAGTCCAGCTAGTGTGTCAGCCCTTAGGAGTTCATCCTCATCATCTCAGCAGCAACAACAACAACAACAGCAACAACAACAAAACGCCCAAAGTCCTCAAACTCCTCCTGGACCTCAGGCTCTAAGTTTACAGGAACTCACTGTAAGGACAGTGACCATGACACGTGAACCTCCAGAATCACATCACGGTTTCGGCATCTGTGTTAAAGGTGGAAAGGACGCCGGTAAGCTTTTCAAATCTTTCAATTTTCTTTTCGATTTTCTTTTCAAATATTAAAGAAAAAAAAATAGCTTAGAAGTGTCTCTGAAAAAACGAGTTTTTAATTGAAACCATTTTTTAATTATAAAATTAGAACAAAAAATTATTAAAATTAATTGTATAAATGGTATAAAGTCATTAAATAAATTTATTTTAATCGTGCACACAAGAGAAAAAATTTATTTGTCGTAGAGCTAAACAAAAATTTGTTTCAAATAAAAATTTTATTTGCAACAAAGAAATTTTTTATTTGTTTCAAGTACAATTTATATGAAAAAAAAAATGTTTATTAAGCACTGTTACATATTATATTTTTTTATTTGATTCAAATACATTATATTTACTTATAATTTGAATAAAAAAATTTATCTAGGTGTATCGATGATATAAATAAAATTAAATCTTTTATATCCGTATTTTATATTTTAAGATTATTAATTTCTGAAAAAAGTAAAAATTAAATTAAATATCTTCAATCATTACTTTTTTCAGAAATTAAAAAAATTTATTTATACCGAAAAAAGATTCGTTAAAAATTCATTTTATCACAAATGTTTAATTTAAAATATTTTTCAAAAATATTGGTAGTTAAAAACTTGTGCTTAAGTGATATTATATATATATATGTGCCATTCCAGGAGTTTTTTAGCACTTTTCGGAGTAACCTTTCCAAATTAAATGAAACATTTTTTTAATAATATTTATTAATATAAAGGTCCAAAAAAATCACTTTTTAAGTAAAAACAATTGTTTATTTAAAAAATACAACAATAAATAATGCAAAAAATTCACTTTTTTCCTGCAACTCCAAATAAATTGGTTTAAAGATCAAAATTTTCCTTATTTTTCAAGCTTTAATACCGCACAAGAAACATAGAGTCCGAGAAAATATTCAACTCACAATTTTTTAAACAATGTTTGTTTACTTTTTTGTATTTTATTTACTGTGAAACGTCTGCTAAAGCTGCGCGCGACGTTTGGAAGTTGTCGCTTTTCTTATTGAGCAGAAGCTCATTACACTAGCGTAGTAAAAAACATGTTGTGTGAAAAGTGAGGTTTTTCATCCTTCAAAAATGTTTTTTATGATTTTTTACTGCAAAGTAGATAATTAAAAAGCATTCAATGTGATAACCAGAAATTTTTACGTTTCGTTTAATGACAACATAACCTCACTTTTCGCACAACATGCTTTCTACTACGCTAGTGTAATGAGCTTCTGCTCAATAAGGAAAGCGACAACTTCCAAAAGTCGCGCGCAGCTTTAGCAGACGTTTCACAGTAAATAAAATACAAAAAAGTAAACAAACATTGTTTAAAAAATTGTGAGTTGAATATTTTCTCGGACTCTATGTTTCTTGTGCGGTATTAAAGCTTGAAAAATAAGGAAAATTTTGATCTTTAAACCAATTTATTTGGAGTTGCAGGAAAAAAGTGAATTTTTTGCATTATTTATTGTTGTATTTTTTAAATAAACAATTGTTTTTACTTAAAAAGTGATTTTTTTGGACCTTTATATTAATAAATATTATTAAAAAAATGTTTCATTTAATTTGGAAAGGTTACTCCGAAAAGTGCTAAAAAACTCCTGGAATGGCACATATATATATATATATATATTATAAATAAAATATAAAAGTAAAACGAGAATATTGTAGAATGGAGTAAATTTGTTGAATTTTAAGTGAATATTTAATATTATTTTAGAATAATTAAAAACGACAGTCAATGTCGATGAAATATTTATTAAATTATACATTTGAAATTATTTGAGGTTATAATTAGTTAACATAAATTAACAGTAATTGTAATATTTGGTAATTAAAATGGTTTTGCAGAAAGAAAATCTTAAAATTGTTACATCTTATTTCACTGTAAAAACAAAGTCAAATTTTAAAACAATTTCATATTTTCAAAACTTATATTTATAGTTAAAATTATGCTCGATCATAAAAAATTAGAAAAAAATTTATAAGATAAATTGTTTAATAGAACATTAAAAGAAATATTAAAATTTCAACTTTTTTCATAATTTCTATTATTTTTCATCGCTAAATTTTTTTTTCACGTTTTTTTTATGATTTTTCTTTTATTTGACAAAATATTATTAAATAAATATTTAATTTTATCAATTAATTATTGAATCAATTAAATGCTACTTGCTTCAAATACAGAAATTATTGATTCATATACAGTTTATTTAATTCAAATAAAAATTATTTGCTTCAAGTAATTATTTACTTGATAATATAGTCAAGTAACCGATTATTTGAATCAAATAAATTTTTTTTTGAGTGTATATTTAATAACTTCAAAAACTTTTGTTACGTAATTTTATATTAAAAAATTATCTCACATCTAGTTTTAGTTTTACAATAGACAAATTACTTTTCAGTTGTAAATGCTTTAATATTACCCCAGTTTACCTTTGTACAAATAAATAAATAAATAAATATTTTAATATTAAATTTTAACATCAATACAGTGATCGATGGTAATTATAGTGGTTTATTTAAAAAATAAAAACATATCTGATAATGTTAAAAATGTAAAAAATACTCCATTTTGAAAAAGAAAAATATCTCATTGTAAAGAGACATTTCTAAGTTTACGCTGACAATTTTTTTGCAACTGCTTTCTCTTTCTCGACAAAATTCATAATATTATATAATTTACAATTTAACAAATTCTCCATTATAATAATTTAAAATACGCTTTATACATATATAAATAAAAAGATGAGAATATATTGATAAGAAACATTACTGTATATATACATATCTATATGTATATTGTAAAATTTTTTATGAGAATTCGTTGAATTTATATAGAATACAATTGAGATTTAAATACCTACTTTTCAGTATTTTCTATTATTGGAAAATGGTGAATCAATGTTTTTAGTGTTCTGCTTTTATTATATTGAGAAAAGAAAGTCGAGGGGGGGCAAGTACGTTTGTTCTATTTGGTATTTTTACGATTTATCATTTTTTAAATTATATTATTCAAGGATCTTCTCGAAAATAATTAAAAATTGTTTTTTTTTAACAATATTTACAATATGTTTAGTAAAAATTATCTCTGAGAAAGTTTTTAATTAAAATTTTTAATTAATTTTTTTTTATTTTACTAAAAAATTTTTAATAATAATTCCTTATTTTTTAAAATTAAAATTTTAATTAAAATTATTTATCAACAGAAAATTATTTTTATTTTTGGATTAAAATAAGTTTCTGAATTTTATGTAAAAAAGAAATGATTCCTAATTATTATTTTTTTTTTTTGAGACAATGTTAAATAATTATGACAATGTAAAATTGTTGTGTAAATTTTTCGAGGAGATTCTCAATTATTGAATTGAGAGTGAGAGTAAGTCAGTGACTGCGTTGTCTTTCTTGTTTGTTTCGCTAAACCAGATGCGCAGTCAGGTAACCAGCGTAGTTGCAAAAAGAAAAGAGATTTATCAGCATGTAATTGTTAGCTCTTTAATGTTAATTTTGTCGTCAATTTTATTTCTTAAAATATTGAATTGATTGATTTGAATTTTTGTGAAGATGTCTAAAATATAATTAGGAATGGCGCTTATTTGCGAAAATTGTAATATTTTGTTGAATTTATTATTATAATATACTTTTATAAAGTTTTAAAAAGTGTGAGGTGTTGTGTGACTATAAAGTGTTATTATAATAATTAATCCAACAAAATATCCCAAATTTCACACCAAAGAGCCATTCCTAATTATATTTTAGACATTTACACAAAAATTCAGATCAATCCATTTAATATTTTAAGAAATAAAGTTGCCGAGAAAATTAACATTGTGAACCTAACAATCACATGCTGTTAAAATTCAGTAAAACCACCGACGAACGAAATTGAGTCTGTGACAGAATAAAAAAAAAAAAAACAAAAAATAATTTTTAAATTGATAAAAATAATTTTATTTTTTAAATTTATCTAAAATTACAAATATAATTATTTTAGTTGATAAATATGTTTCTTTAAAAATTTCATTGGTTTTCTGGATGATGTTTTAAGACTCGGTGGTTTTCATTTATTTATTTACGCTCAATGTCGCATGAAAGTTACACGCAGATCTCTCGATTCGAGAACTGGAGACTCTAAAGAGTTTTTAATAATAAAAATGCCAATAACTCTTTTCGAAGTCACGCAAACAAGTTTTATTATTTTTTAAATGCTTCTTAATTCCATAAAGTAAAAGAATTTTTCAATCTCTTTTGATAGTTTTATATTATGTATATATATATATATTACTTCCTTTGTGTATTTATACATCTTTATCTTTAAGGGGAGGGACCGCTGAAATTTTAACACATCAAAATTAAAGCTGTTTAAGGGTGGTCAATTTTTTTTCTGACAATATTAATTATTTAAATGTATAATATATCATGAAAAATTGAAAAACTATAAATTTGTTAATAATTTTTAAAATCAAATTCAAAATTATCGAAAATTTAAAATTTAAACTTCTCTCACAATTTTAATTATTTTTGACTGACGATTTTTTTATACGCTTGTTTCATGATTCTAAACAATCAAGCCGTATGGATTTTGAAAAATTTCAATTTTTTCAAAAAATGAAAATTTTGAAAAATAAAAATATTTGTAAATTTGTTAAAAATTACCTTTTGTTGTTTTTCTCAGTAGAATAAGATTTTTGGTTGAAAAAAAAATGTTGAAAAAAATTATTACCCCTAAACAAGATCAATTTTGATTGCTTTCAATTTTAGTGGTAATTTTGAAAAAATTCAACTACTTCCACAATTTTAATTATTTTTTATTGTCGAATTTTTTTTACGCTTTTTTCACGATTTTAAACAATCAATCGTATGGAATTTAAAGAAATTTAATTTTTCCAAAAAATAAATTTTCTAAAATGGCTAAAAAATTTTTTTTTTGAAATTTTAATAATTTATAATAATTTTGGATCCTAAATTATGCCAGAAA